CTCTTCAGTATAATAAGGAAGTTGGCAAGTTCATTTTGAACGATGTTACACAAGGAAGACGATGATATAGACATTTGTTTAGGCTTGTCTTCTCAAAAGCAACTGACGTCTTAAGTAAGAACGAAGGTGGAGTTTAACTTTTGAAACATATCAATTCTTTAATGAAGGTGTTACCGGTGTGTAAATATATTAAATTTAATATTATTTTGATTATCTTGATAACACTTAAAATATCAAATCTAATTATAACGGCTTATATGATACTATCTTTTCCTGTGATAGATCAATCTAATAATAGTCCATTTTAACGATTGACACATTTTTAATTGAACTGTCGCGTGTTATTCAGAAACAATGTTTCTCAACAGATAATTCGAATTAGGTTTGTTGCGTTCTTTCAATACCTTTTTTTTGTAGCGACATAGATTATATCACGTAATGGTTTAATATCAAATGTAATTTATAAAATAAGAACAAATTATATATATGCATCCGTTTATTATGAAAATGATGATGTAATTCTATATGAAGAAAAAAAAAATTAAGAAAAATTGAAAAGAAAACAACTAAATCCAATGACAATCAATTTTCAACTTCCAATGAAAATTCTACTTTATTATCATTATCTAAAATAATTTTTTCCGATTATATTACAAACGAATACTCCAAGTATTAAATTAACAATTTATTAAAGATCAGGTCTTGTATATGATTATAGTTACGACACATAACAAAATAATAAATTAAACAAAACCAGTCGTTAGGTTTAACTTTATTTAGACGTTTCAGTTGTATCAAAGAAGAGTCAGGTTAATTCTAGGTAAAATCATGTGGGTAGCACGCGATTGTGGTAGTACGCGTATGTGCGTCATCGTAGGTAGTCGTGGCGGGACAAACAGAGAGACCAACTGTCGTCCATACATGTACATATACATAGATAAGTATTTATGGTTGTATATGAGTTAGTTCGAAAACAGGGAACTTGTCTATCTAGTTACTGGTTGCACTAGGATAAGCGAGGTCATGTAAAATCAAATTAACCAAGTGAAATGGAGTTAGAGAGGAGAGAGTCAGTCTCGTTGTCAAAATAGAGATGAGGGCCAACAAAAACACGTCATTGGTACAAAGCTTTTACTTCTAAAAGAAGGTAGTGGTAGTAATAGTAGTAGTAGTAGACATTCTCATTAATTTTGCGTTCCATCATTTGTCATGAACACGACTCTCGAGACAGTTCGTTAATTTTTTTCTTTTTTTTCTTTCTATCTTTGTCTCCTTTCTTTTTTCTTTTTTTTCTTTTTCTTTTTTCTTTTCCGTTGCTTCATCAAGGACGTAAGATTAGTATAGAATTATTATAAATCAAAGACGGAATGCAAAGAGATATCAAATAGTATCTATGAATATATATATTCATAAATATATATATATATATATATATATATA